AATGCCACGACCAACGATCGCGCCCGGAGGATTTTAAGCTGGAGATCACGCACACGTCCCGAAAGGACCAAGGTCAAGCAAACTCGACCAGCAATATACCGGGTCGTACGAAGTAACGGATGTATCGGATCGAGATAACGTAATTCTGAAAGCTGATACGTACCGGCAATTTGATTTGCGAACACCAGGACAAAATAAAGCAGGCTTTTTATTCCGAGAGTTTCTCGGATTCACGGACGAATTTATTATATACGGAAACGTTTTTAGTCCGGAGTGGCCGGTTCCACACCGCCTTTTCCTGTCCGAGGAAGAGGAAGATAACGAGTTTTACGGGTCAACGGTCGGCGCTGGACCATCCGACCACCCCGGAAACGTACGAAGCGATCCTGAATTTACGCCGCGTGCAAAGAAAGCAGCTCGTGTTCGAAGCGGGAGGCCATCGCACGCGCGAAAACTGTTGGTCGCGCCTGCCGCGACGTGCACGGCGACCTTTTCCCGGGAGATGATGGCATTCGATACGTTCGACAACTATGCCAGAGGAAGAACAAAATTGCGAGGGTTGCGACACCCGCGTTTTGGGGATTGCACCAGCTGCCGAGTGCCCGGAAATTGAGGAATATCTTGAAATATCGAAGACTGCGAAAAGTGAATTATTGCAGGCGAAAAGCGTTCACGCGAAACAAAGGGCCCTGCGGATTGTAGTGATCAAAATTGCCCTTAGAGATTTTTTAAAGGTTCGCGAGTTTTTTCAGACTTTACAAATATTTCTGTAATGTTTTAAAAGCGTGTCCCAAAAATGTCTCGCAATCCGGAATTGGCGAGTTCCTGAGGTTATTTCGAGTCACTTTCTCCTTAGCGAAAACGCAATCCGCGGCTTTGTTTATGAGTTATTAACGAAAGGTAGTGCAAAGGGTTAGTTTAGTTTCCAAGCCTTCCGTTCCCAGCTAATACCGGCAGAAAAATATTGTATTATTTACATATATCTTTTTATAATATTAAAAATATCTTTTTAACGCTTTAAAAATATTTTCGTTAATATTCGAGAGATCTGTTTGTTAATATTTGAAAAATATTTAAGTCAAAATACATACAAAAATAGTCATCCTGTAACCACCCTCACGAACAAGTTACAGGCTTATAATTTTATGAATTTTTCTTGGTCATCTGTCGAACGGTATTAATACTCGTTCAAGAACCTCCAAGGCCAATTTTAACCACCTCAATCGGCTGGGCCCTTTGTTTCACGGGAATGCTTTTTCCTTTGAATAATTTGTCTTCTGCAGGCTTCGATATTTCAAGAAATTCTTCAATGCGATCCAGGCACTCGGTAGCTGGTGCAAATCCCAAAATCCGGGTGTCGCAACCCTCGCAATTTTGTTCTTCCTCTGGAATGGTTGTTAAACATATCGAATGCCATCATCCCCTGGTAAAAGGTCGTCGTCAGGTGGTGACAGGCGCGACCAACGTTTTTTGCGCGTGCGATGGCATCACCCTTCGAATACGAGCTGCTTTCTTTTCACCCGGCGTAAATTCGGGATCTCTTCGCACGTTTCCAGGTGGGTCGGATGGTCCAACGCCGGCCAGTCACCCGTAAAACTCGTTGTCTTCCTCTTCCTCGAACCGAAAAAGGCGATGTGGAACCGGCGTCTCAGGGCTAAAATCGTTTCCGTATATAATAAATTCGCCCATCAATCTGAGAAACTCTCGGAATAAAAAGCCTGCTTTATTTTGTCCTGGTGTTCGCAAATCAAATTGCCGGTACGTATCAGCTTTCAGAATTACGTTATCTCGATCCGATACATCCGTTACTTCGTACGACCCGGTATGTTGCGGGTCGAGTTTGCTTGACCTTGGTTCTTTCGGGACGCATACGTAATCCCCCACCTTAAACTTCTCTGGGCATGATCGTTGGTCGTGGTATTTTATAGATCGTCTCTTCGCAGCGTTTAGTTTGTCTACGGCTTGGCCTCGGATTTTCGCATGAAATTGCAGTGGTCGATCTCCGATCTTCTCAAAAAATTAGTTCGTACATCAGTACAAGTATTCTGTTAAAACGACGTGGCTCCTTTCCAGCGATCAATTCGTTTGTGGCCTGCACTTCGATGCAGCTATTTGCTTGATCTGGACAATTTCTGCCAGATTCCTAGTATGTATTTTGACTGAAATACTTTGCAAATGTTTAAAAAAAATATTTCTGAAACATCGCAGAAATATTTGCAAAGTCACGTGTATAAACCATGTGATATGAAAATGGAAAAGTAAAGTGTGCCTTATGAAAAAGAAGCTATGCCTCCAATGGGATTCGAAAAATCCCAGCGTAGTGTCTCCGCCAACCGACGGTGTTGAAACATCAATATCTAGGTATAAAGTCCCACAAATGTCCCAAAAATGTCCCGCGATACGGAAATGAGAGGTAGCTGGAGTCATTTGAAGCAACTTTCTCCTAAGCGAAAATGAGTTATCAACGAAAAACCCCGACGATCGCTCGAGCGCGGAGCGCGACGGAAGGAGGGAGGCTCCGTGCCGCGCTCGAATCAATGAACAAGTCACGGAGCGTGAACTTCCGATTTTTCTTTTTTTTTTTACCATTCACATTCAATTCTTCCAATATCTTTACAATTTTATAGTTGTTGACGATCGGTAATTGTAAAAACGAGCCGCAAGGCTCGAATAATCGTATCTCCTCTTCCTAAATTGTCCATTTTTGTGCGCAGTCTGAGCGCGAATTAGAGAGAAATTACTGTACATCCTACCTGGTACAGCATATATTCAAAATTGTTTGCAACATCGCAAGCAATATATTTGTAAGACATCATTACCCTACGCTATTGCAGGTTTCCATAATGAATTATATTACATGCTATTGTTGTTAATACAATGAACATTGTTGACGAATTAATTTATAGAATCGTTTATAGAATCGCAGAATATCGTTTACAGATCGATATGTAAAAATAATCACAACGATAGTAGCCCCGATTTACTTCATCGAGCCACTCTGTTTACCGAGAATTGTATTCTACTTGCAAAACGAGGTTCCACTTCGTAGAGTAGTGTCACTGAAAGTGTTCCTTGTCTTGAAGCACAGGTAACAAAGCCGTTAGCAACCGTGACTATAATAGTAAATTTGCTGTCGAATTGTTCTATATGTTATAAACCGACATCTACGCGGGTCTGAACAACGAGCAGAAGAAATCTATACAGAAAATGTTCAGGAGAGAGCAACACAGGTATCGGAACGAGGCATTGGCATCGGTCGTCCCGAGTAGGCAGGACCGGCGAAACTAAGGACTGTCGAGGTTGTTACAAGCCGAGGACTAATTACCCGAGTAAAGAAATTGCGGAGAAGTATAATTTTGAATTCGGTATAATTTTCGGTATATATATATATATATATATATATTTACTTGTTAGATCAATTTCGTATATATATATGATTTTGATGAAATAGGCCTGCCATGTTCATCTTAGGTGTAATTCTTTTTTTAATTTTCTGTTTTTTTCTTCTCTATGTACATATCCGTTCTATGTGAATCTGTTTGAAATATTAATGTTTATAATTGTGGAGCATATTGTACAAACGGAACAACTACTTTCGATTTCCAGTGCTTTCTTCGAATTCGAATTGAATATAAAGTGGACAACTACTTATAATACTTTCTCCAAATAAAATGAAATATTAATCAATATTTGTTGCAGTGTTTTTTTTATATTTTTCCAAAGTTCAACATTTTATTTAGTTTTTTTTCCTGTGGATTATTATTTAATTTTTTGTCTTTTTCGAAGTATTTTTTGTATTTTAAAGCATTTTTTGTGTGATATTTTTTTGTATTTTAAAGCATGTTTTGTGTGATATTTTTTTGTATTTTAAAGCATTTTTTGTGAGATATTTTTTTGTATTTTAAAGCATTTTTTGTGTGGTATTTTTTGTATTTTAAAGCATTTTTTGTGTGGTATTTTTTTGTATTTTAAAGCATTTTTTGTGTGGTATTTTTTGTATTTTAAAGCATTTTTTGTGTGGTATTTTTTTGTATTTTAAAGCATTTTTTGTGTGGTATTTTTTGTATTTTAAAGCATTTTTTGTGTGGTATTTTTTTGTATTTTAAAGCATTTTTTGTGTGGTATTTTTTGTATTTTAAAGCATTTTTTCAAAGGGCTTAATATTTTAAATATAATAATATATTTAATATTTTAAACATAAGTTGGATATTTCTTGGAGGTTATTTGAATGCTTGTTTGGGGGATTAATTCTTTAAATTAATATCTTCTGCATAGCTTTTTCGGGTGAATTGTTTTAGAGATACTCTTGTGGGTTTCAATTTGTTGGAAGTTTTTTGTACGTACCAGTTGAAAATATTTTTAATTTATTTTATTTATTTTGCAAGGATTATTGGTAATTCTCTCATTTCACCGTCTTGCTGTCGTCTCATCCCAGAAAAGGTTCTACATGTACGGGGGGTAGTGGGGACGCACCCTGGGTGCAATTCGTACTTTCGCGGTCGCCTAAGGCGACGCAATTTTTTGTTTCGGTCGCCAAGGTGATACAGTAATTTTTCCATAATTCGCGCAGAGATTGTGCACGAAAATGGACAATTTGCAAAGAGGAGATACGATTATTCGAACCTCGCGACTCGCAAAACTGGATTACTCCGTATAATTATAATATTTTTCATTATAATATTTCAATTAATTAATAATATCAGTTACTATTCATAATTACAATATTTTAAATATTTTCCGTATAATTATAATAAAAATATTATATATATATATAATATTAATATAATAAATATTATATATACATAATATTCCATCGATTATACGTATCTCCGCTTCCCAAATTGTCCATTTCTCTGCGCAATTTGAGCGCGAATTAGGAAAAAATTACCGCATTGGGAAAGGGTTTAGAGCCAGAGGCCATTTGCGGGACGGTCCTACCCGTTTTCAGAGTCAGACAGCTGCAAAAAAGAATCATGCGAATGAACTGGATTTTGACTCACCGAAGTCGACGGTTTGTTCGGGGCTGAGAAGATTCATTGCTTCGGAATCGTCGATGTCCATTACTGAACTCCGGGCCGGGAATCGAACACGTGGTCGCAATCGATCGATGTGTTTCTTTCGCCGGGTTTCCCGCCGGCGAAAAATGCTTTCGGCCTCCTCTCGAATGGAAACACTTCGTAGTCGACTAAAAGAACGGAGTTGTTTGATAAGCGAATTTTCCAGCTTGAAAATATGACTCTTGTAAATTTCGAGAACCGGGCGTACGTTTACATCGAAGTTGAAGTTAACCCTTCGAAGACGACGTCTTTGAACTGTACTGTACAAAGTCGAACTTTTTTTCCGATTTCCACTATAGCTACTATGAAATTCTTGTAGAGAGCTTCATATTATTTTATATATTATTCATTCGCGTTCATATCTGACGCGAAACGCTGTCGGCCGCGCGATAAAAAACCGCGAAATGTTCGCGTCGTTCTTGAAAGGTTAATCGTCGAAGGTATTTTACTAAGCGCGCGAATCCGAGCTAACACTGTACAACGTGCGACAACTTCGCTTCAATAAAGCCTGAACGAAACTACTCTCTTCTCCCCCTTAGCGCTCTCCTTGCGATGCGAGAAATCGACATGCGCAAATCCACCGCTCATTCCCCCTCTTTTTCCCTCTAGCACACCTATCCTTACCCCATGCTTCTTCGTCGGCCGAGTATCCGTTCCTAATTTGCCGCCAAAAGACACGAGTTTAGAAGATGGAAGCATTTATCTATTTATTTGCAATATTCCAACGGAACGAATCCTTTGTGTTGGAAAGAAAGAAAACAGAAAGTAATAATACTTTTTGCCGTACGATTTAAGTTTCAATAACGTGTACCAGAAACAACAACAAGATCAGTGTCACACGCAGAGTCTTTTCATGGTCGCGGGAATCGTCTGAAGTTGAGTCAAATCGAACACGTCTTACGGTATGTAAATATAATACAATGATTTCCATTAATATCCGGACACTTTTCGAAGCTCAATAACTTTTTTAGAATTAGACTAAATGACTTGAATTTTTTTTTTAGATAATAGAGCGATCAATCTACCAGATCGTAACTGAAATGCTTTTTTTTATAGGTTATAATGACAGGTTATTTATTATAATGATAGGTTTATAATGACAAAAGAAGATAAAAGACTCTTGTTTTTTAACTTTTTTATCGGAGCCTACAACGAAAATTTAAACAATTTGTTCTATAGTTCTCTGCAAGTTATATACATGTTAAAAATTTCACCGAAATCTGTTGACCTTCGTATTTTTGACCACGTCTTCCAGACGTGGTTGTACGGCAAAGGGTTAATTGTCGAGCAGATTATAAGAGCAAAGCGATAAATGAAAATGCGGGGATACTGCCGCAGGAGCGATGTTCTGCACCCTTTATATCTAGATGAAGTGGCCTAGAAGTTCTTGATAGCCGCGGCGTAGCCTCAGAGCGGATGCAACAGGTTGTTCTAGCAGTTCAAGAGATCGACTTATACAGGCGAATTAATCGAATGGCAATATTGTGGAGTATTGAATATAATGGAGTATTGATCAAGGAACGAATGAGATGATTTTACGTTTTGAAATTATTTAGGTACGAAAAAAAGTCCGTTTGCAAAAGTATGATCACAACTAAAAAATTTAGAATTAAAAAATTAATAAAATTATAAACATACAAATATACGCATAATTTAAGCAGTAGTTTTCGATTAACCATGCCGCTTTATTATTTACTATGATGTTTTTTACCGTTTGTCTCTCTGAAGAATTTACTTCTCAATTTCAATCAAGGTCCAAAATTCTGATAGAAAGGATGGACAAGGTCAAATCATATAAGAAGAGGACTCCAGGGTATCTGGTGATACCAAAAACGCATAAAATAAAATAATTTACGTAGAAAATAAAAGACTCATGCATGGCGCGCTGATCATTTAAAACGCAATTCCATCAATTTTACAATTGAGCGAAGAAGCAAAATATCAACATTTCAACTGGCCGCGTTCTATTCAAACTAACGAGAATAATTATAAATTATTATTTTTGTTATTACACGCAGACTTTGGGACTGGTTTCGGAACAATATTCGCAACATGAAAGGAGGTAACGTAACGAATTGAATTAAAAATATTGCATTTAAAAAAAAAAAATTTTACAAACGATTAAATCACTGCATTTTTTTTTCATTATTCTATCTCAATAAAAACCCAAATGTATGTACTAGTAACATAAAATGAAAAAGTAACGCTTAAACATATAATTTCAGTTGTTACATGTTTTCCCGCTTTTTGTAAAGAAACCGCGCGTCGCGTGCAAACGCGCGACGAATAGAGACGCTCGCAACGGAAAAACGAGGGAAAAGCGTCGCAGAAGAGGAAGATTAGAATGCGCGCCAAGTTTTTACCTGGTCCTGGCAGCGCTGCGCCGTGGTGGTGACTTGCGGAGGCTTCCGGAAGATCGGGATCGTTCTGAACGGGCGGGCAGCCGTTTGAAGTGAACGCCGCTCTTCCACTCCGTTAACTGTACCGGCTAACGAAGCACAAGTTCAAACTGAAATGACTCGGATCTCCGGCATCGCGCACTTTTATGCTGTGCCCGCCAACCTTCCCCTCCACAACGCTTTTTCCCAGGGCTGCCGCATAACTTGCTGACAGGCAGGAGAGTGGGTAAATTACAGATAATGGTGGGAGTACCTTGGCAACCGACGGGTCGCGAAACCGTGAGCTGGAAACTGACGTATCAGGCCTGGAGCAGTTCGCGGAATCGGCGAGAGGGGGGGGGGGGGGGGGGGGG